AAACAGATTTTGCATCCACATCCTTCCCTGCATCCATTAACAAACAGTGCAAACTTGTATTTTTTTTCCCTCTGGTGAAAGCATTTCTGTATTCATATCAGGTTTATCCGTCCTTCTGTTATTATTACCCTTCACTGCTCATTATATGCTCTTCCCCTATCTGCCCTGTCAAGTATTTTTTTTTTCTTTGTGCACCTTCTACAAAGGGGCAGATGCAGCACGGTGAGGTGACATCAGCAGACACAATGTGCCATACACTCCTCTTTGTAAGAAGTCAAAACATCAGTTCTTGACATTTTCACACTTTTCGCTGTGTGATGGAAAGGAAAAGCAAATTTAATAAGAGGCGTTTTCCATTGTTCTCATCTGGCCAATTACTCACTAATGAGCTCATTTTTTTAAAAGAAAGTTTTAAGATTGAAGGTAAAAAGTTCAGTTTTAGAGCCATTAACAGGCAGCACTATTCAAGGTGACGGAGATGTTTAACGGCGACGGACACGGGTTACAATCTACCTGAAAACTTTTAGCACAGGGCACAGACCCAGGACACTGCAGCATCTATGAGCTGCTCCATAAAAAAATAAAAAAAAATAAAAGGCCCCGGTATAAATGGCATCCCCCTAAGGTGAGCACCGGTTTACTATATTGATTTCATATTTAATTTATGAACCCGTGCTAAAATATTTATAACTGCAGACTATAAAAGAGCATACATTCAGCATTCGGGTAATGTACAACAGACATAAAGGACTGAGCGGACGCTTTAGAGAGCTGCCCCGCTGACCACCACGGCCAAAACGTGGCACATGTACAGTGTTCTCGGTGAGGGAAGGAGCTTCTATTCATATGGAAGCAGCCAACATAGAGACACCTAACCATTTCTCTAAGGTCTTTTTAGAATTTAATTAGCATTTTTGGGTGAAATGGGGCTGCAGGGTGGCGCAGTTGGTTAGCACTGTGGCTCGCAGCAAGAAGGTCGCTGGTTTGCGTCCCGGTCGGGGCACCGGAATCTTTCTGTGTGGAGTTTGCATATTCTCCCCGTGCAGCGTGGGTCTATCTATACACCGCTTAATCCTCATTAGGGTCGCGGGGGGGCTGGAGCCTATCCCAGCTGACTTAGGGTGAAGGCAGTGGACACCCTGGACAGGTCAACCAGTTTATCACAGGGCTACACTTAGAGACAGACAACCAAGCACACTCACATTCACACCTATAGACAATTTAGAATCACCAATTAACCTCAACATGTTTTTGGACTGTGTGGGAGGAAGCCGGAGAACCCGGAGAGAACCCACGCTGCACGGGGAGAACATGAAAACTCCACACAGAAAGATTCCGGTGCCCCCACCGGGACGCGAACCAGCGTTGCTGCGAGGCAACAGTGCTACCAACTGCGGCACCTTGCAGCAGTCTAAAAACATATTGAGGTTAATTGGTGATTCTAAATTGTCCGTAGGTGTGAATGTGAGTGTGCTTGGTTGTCTGTCTCTAAGTGTAGCCCTGTGATAGACTGGTGACCTGTCCAGGGTGTCCCCTGCCTTCACCCTAAGTCAGCTGGGATAGGCTCCAGCCCCCCCCGCGACCCTGGTGAGGATTGAGCGGTGTATAGATGATGGATGGGTGAAATGTTTACCTCTGATCACATTTAAGGCCTTTAAACATTTTCACACACGTTCATTTTCATCAAACAAAGCGCATTTGTCCCAACTATGAGCAGTTTTAGTGATTTCTCCTTATAAAAAAAAAGAAAAACTGTCAGCATCGCACTTTTAAAACGGCTCTTTGGTTCCGCTATAACCTTTTACTATTGTGCCTCAGGCCTCTCTTGTCATTGGCTAAAAGCAAAACAAAACAAATCATCTTAATGTCAACAGTGTTATTACCACTAAGTGGTACTTCCCGCATTTGCTCAATGAGGCCAGTGTTGCTGTAGTTCACGCTGGATTATGGGCAAGGTCACTCGGCAGGTATACTCAGCAGCAATTGTCAGTCATGTTTTCAATATATGAGAGAATACAAGACACCTGAGGAAAGCCTGTAAAGAAGTGGAAAAACACAGTGTGGGAGTCCGAAAAGGAAAAACGGAGGGAGAGCAAGAGAGATAAACTGTGAGAGGAGAGAGAGAGAGAGAGAGACAGATGATAGAGAGAAACATGTGTTCTCAGTGTCCGGAACGCACCAGTAGAGCTGAAAATAGGGATTGGGACAGTTGCACCGTAGCTTCATTTGAGAGGACACAATCGACTGTCTGTTCTCTAAAGAACTCTCCTTGTACGGAGGCAAGGCCTTTTGGGAACATTGCTATCATCTTAAAAGGCCATCTCTGTCTCCCTCTCTTTCTACCTTGCTCTCTTTTCCCCTCTCTCTTGCGCTCTTGCCTCTCCCTTCTCTCCTTGAACAGGGGGTGAGGCCATTAGGGAACAATGGTGATATCTTTAAAGGGCCTTCTGTGGCTGAGAGAACAGCACTGCCAAAACCCGGAGGATCCATGTGATGAATCAGTGGTCACAGAGCACAGAGGGGATAGAGGGATTTAAGTGGGTTATGAATGTGTCTGCATGCATGTGTCTGCCTGTGTGTGTGTGTGTGTGTGTCTACTGTGGAGATATTATGTGTGAATTAAACCACATTTGGAGACAGATTTTGGATTTAGAACAGTTGATTGAAAGCTGTCCAGCTCAGGGGAAAAGGGTGTTCCTGCTTTCAGTCTTGATTATGGAAAGGTTAAGGTTAAAGTAAAAACGTTATACCAGCAGGCATGAATATATTTGTCGGTAATTTGCATGGCGCTTTCAAGACGCTGACCTCATGCTGCGTAGTGGAGGCTTTTTTACTGTAGTGCTGAATCTGGTACAAAAGAAAAGAGATACTGTAGCAAGGGACACTGCATATTCAACTGTCCATCTACGATAACAGCAGTTATTCTGAGATCCTGACTCAGCATGGCGCGTCGTCTTTTCAAAGAAATTTTGGACTTAATTGTCTTTTACTATCTTCATTGTTGCTCAGATGTTTATTGCCGCGGAGCAGGACTATACTGTATGTCTATACTCCACCAATTAACTCACAGACTGGAGGAAAATTCCCTTTCCAAGGTTTGCTCAGGGTTGATTTAATCATAGTATTTACTACACTCATTTCCGCGGTGTGGGGCCGGCATTTTCCGAAGGGCCACATTAGCCACCATTCGATATTCGTCCAATATAAACTGCTCGGTGGAGCTCCCCAGCTAGAACATACTTTTGGATGACTTAATGTATTCGATACGCTGATAAAATGCTTTAATGCCTTGAAATATTGAGGTTCGGTCTGGAGGACGCATTGCAAAACAATACCGCTGCACAGATCCCATTGGAGATCAATGCATACAACACATTAATTGTGTTAATTGACTGTGATGAGTGAAATGGAGCTCCATTATGGCTATAAGGAGTAAATCAACACCGAATCACCTGAGGCAGAAAGCTATTACGCCGCGTCCTACGGGCTCAAACTTTTAGGTGTGCTATATGTCTGTCAGCCCACCAATGAGTGATGTCACAGCTTCCATTTACGAGCAAAAAAACACCTGCGTTGGCATCAGTTATTCAAGTGAGATCCAAAACAAGTATGTTAAAGGTTCAGCCTGTTGGGAGTACCACCCCCAGCAGCACTCTCCTTTAAGTGACTCAGACTTAAACTACTTTTGCAAATGAAAGTGCTAGAACAAAAAGCAGATTGAGCAGGAATCACGAGAGGGGAAACAAGGTAAAGACCAGCCGTGAAAGCCAGTCAATCTGCTGATGTGAAGCTCAAACAAGATTAGCACGATGGCAGGGTGTATGTGTGATTCATCGAAGTGTGACCCCAAAAGAGAGACAAGAGGGGAGGCTATATGTAAAGCAGTAACAAATAGACGTACCTACGCCTGCTCACGCATGGTAGCAATAGCAAAGTTATATTTTCTGCAGAAAAGAGAGAGCGATGAAGCTGACTGGCAGTAGCAGCACTTTATAAAAAGGGACATAGGATGCTTCTAGTCTAATGTTAGAGTTAATGGGCTGGAAAGAGAGGGCGAGTGAGAGAGAGAAGGAAGGTAAAACGAGACGGCACGCACACACACAAGCGGGAAAACTGATGTCTCGCTGGCATAAAGATGCATAAAGATAAATATGGGCATATATCTGGGCATATGCACGGGCTACACATGTCTGCCTGCCTGCAAGTCTGGTTGCTTGGCAGAGAGAAAGGAAAGAGAAGAGGGAGAGAGAGACAGAGAAAGAAGGCTTCTGACTTAACCATACATCCATTAGCTCTCTAATGTCCTATCATGCTGAGAAACCATTGATACCATTACATCAGATAAATGTAAAATTCACACAACACCGGTTTCATAGATTAGACCTGCTGAAACATCTTCCTTACCTACTGCAGCGGCTCATTTTTGTCTGAGATAGATAGATAGATAGATAGATAGATAGATAGATAGATAGATAGATAGATAGATAGATAGATAGATAGATAGATAGATAGATAGATAGAT